TAGCCGCAATTTCCTCATTACTAGATAGTATTACTCCACCCCTCCCCTCCCCTCCTCGAAGCCTGACTAGTTAATAGGATTTCCCTCGGAAAAAAAAAATAACTTTACATCTATATGTCTTTTTATAACCATATTTCTTGCTATATATTGGCATTCCACCCACAAAAAGAATCCAGGGTTTGGTTAATTTTACAATTATGCAATGCAAATGATCGTAATAAACATTACAATTATTTCCTGACACAAATTAAAAAAGATGAAAAGAAAGCTTAAACTGACCAAGTAATTGGGGGGGGGGGGATTTTCCCAAATAAATCTGACAAGTTAAAAAAAAGCTAAACTGACCAAAAAGTGGGAGGGGGGGGGCAACTTCCAAAAATAAAGAAAAAAAGTAATTACGTGTCCAAATCTTGGAATTTTGCCGTTGCTCTACCTTGCAGCGACAAAAAAAAAAGGGGGGGGGCAGTCAGCATCTAAAGGATATGATAAGAGTCAATTTAGGCCCCCATAAATCATCATTTTTAAATGTGATTAAGGTATGTTAAATGGTTGTTTTATTTTGTAGAAGAGTTTATATTTGAGATATTTTCAATACATTTGTCTCATGTACTCACTGGCTGTAAATGACGTCAGAAATGATACTATTTTTGCAATCCAATCAAACTAAGACAAAAATGTGCCGTTTTCTTGACGTTCTTCCTATAGGAAACATAGAGCGCAGCTTTGAACAAGCAAAATTTTTCTGTAAGTAATTAATTAAGGAATAACTGTCTAATTTTTTGGATTCATGATGTGATCAATCGAGTGGCTTGCGTGATAATTTGCATAAACGCCGAAGGCGTTTATGCATAAAATTATCACGCAAGCCAATCGATTGATCATCGTCATGAATCCAAAAAATCTGACAGTTATTCCTTATATTTACATGCTCCTGATTATGAAAATTCTCGTGCTAATAGCCCCGCTTCTGTCTCTATTTGTCCCGCCCTGCACGTGATTTTTTTTAACCGCGCCTATCGATGAACCAGTAGATTTATGTAGAAATAAAGTATTTTTACAATTTGTAATTTTATCTCGGACAAACACATTGGAAATGTAAATATTCTTGGATAGATACATCTTTGGTGAAAATATAAAGTTTGTTCAAGTCTGCGCTCAATATTTTCTGGAGGAAAACTGCCTGAAAATAAGCTGTTTAATGCAAAATATACTAAAATGGTCGTAAAAGTTCAAATTTATGATGTCATATTTTTAAAGTAACAGAATTTTGATCAAAGTCAAGTTAAAATCAAGAATAAACTTCACGAGTATAGCTGTGCAAAGTAAACCTTTATGTAAAGTAAAATTAAGATATTCATTTAAGGGGCCATTTGAGACACTTATCATACACACATATATATATATATATATATAGAGAGAGAGAGAGAGAGAGAGAGAGAGAGAGAGAGATAGATAGATAGTTCTTTACTAAGCAAAATATTATACTCAGAAAAAAGCGGGACACCCCACCCCCCGGCCCCCCACGTTCTACGGGCCTGATTAGGTAGTAATTTCATACTACTCCCCGGAAATCTGGCCGAATACACCACATATCTTCAAATGGTGCTTCACAGAGAGCTACATTTTTGTAAGGCTATGTTTAGGGCTATGATTATCGTACCTTCTCTCTCTCTCTCTATACATAGTGATGACTTTTTGTCGCATTTCTTAAAGATCTCAATCTTTACACATATTTTAAGATATACAGTAAGCAAACATGGAAGCAAGTGATATCTGAGGTGTACTTAAGACATAACTGACAGTATGTGTAATTCTGATGCAGATTCAGCATTTTTTTTTAATTTCTACTGGTTTTTGATTACGGTGAATTTTTCAGAGACTATACTTTCTTTCTAGGATGAAATGTGATTATTCTCAAATGTATATTGTAATACAAATTATGAGCAGAGCCAACATGGACCTCTGAAAACAGAGGTGGGATCAGGTGCCATGAAGGAGCAAGCATCCCCTGTCGACCGGTCACACCCACCGTGTTTTACCTGTAATAATCGGGTAACAGAAATATTCATAGACAAATAAGTGTGAAAATACGGTCAAACAATTTGTATGAAAGACATCAGTCATCATTCGGTCCCGCGACTTAAAGACTTTAATTTCTAGATACATGTACATATCCTTTCTGGTGTCACAAAAATGCGTTCCCCCCATTAAATTCCAAACTTCCTGGAAATCTGCCTGTGTACTTCTTAGTTGTCCTTTTCTTTCATAACAAAATGTTGACTAATTTTCTTTCCAAGGGAGCTGCAGTTCAGCAGCTAAGTCCGACGACTCATTCGATAGAAACGATTTTAAACTTTGCTTCTATATTTATGTAATCGTGAAATTTTTTCCCCTTTATTTGTCATATCCTGCATAAAATATTTAAAAAAAAAGTAATGAACTAAATAATGTTTACTTGTGACAACAATCTTTCTTCGTAAATGTGTCTCCCATGCAAATTCAACCACAGTATTTTTTTTTCTTGTTAACGTAGCAGTACTCAATTAATCAGATTAAGCGAATAATATGAACTGAAAAAAGGTATTAAACTTTCTCGGAAGTTTATTTAAAAGTGTTGATCAAAATTATTTTCATCGACCTTGTTCCCCATATTTCAAATGTAAGTTCATGTACTTTACATGAATAATGGGACAGGTACTTTTACTGAAGAAATAGTGACAGAAAGTACAAATCTCCAAGCATACGGATATGTTACATAATTTATCAAAATTAATGCATCGTAAACAAATTGTCCCACGGGGGAGTGAGACTCCGTATTCATTGAGGTATCTGGAAGTTCCGAAAGCTTTGAAAAGGCTACCTATGTCTAATGATTTACATATATAACCTCCAGAGGCGGATTCAGGAAAATTTCCGGGGGTGGGATGGCACATCAACTGTAACAATTTCAATCTCGGAAATTTTCTGACAAGAAAAAAACACTTGCCCAAACCTTAAAGTCCTATATTTAATGGGGGGCCTTTCTAAGTAAATTTTCTTCAAAAAGATCACTCTCCCTACCATTTTAATGGTCTGCGTTTCTTGGTGGAAGGGGTCCGAGGTCAGTTTTTTTGGTTACTTTTACATAGATATTTACTAATATTGAAAATTCAATTGGGGGAGGGGTCCGGACCCACCTCAATTTTCAAAGTTCACGGAAATGTTTTTTTTTTTTTTTTTTTTTTGCCATCTTCAGCACATTTGATTCATTTATTTTATTGAACGACTTATTTGTTTTTTAAGTTAACAGTTAAGCATATTTAGTGGGAAGTGGGTTTATTAAAGCCATAAAAAAGCGATTTTTGAACATGAATGGAATAACGTTTAAATGACAGAAAAGTAAATGTAAAATCTATTTCGTGTTTCAAAGAAAAAAATCGACTTTCTTGTTAGAAACTCTAAGTAACGCATTAATTAGAGAAAATAAATACATGTAAATAACAGACAGTTGCGTACATGAGAAATGCTTTTTTTTTAAAATCTGAAATAAAAGTAATTACACAAAATTTGAATGATATTGGAAACCTCAGTTGCACTAAATGACAGAACAGTAATCAGATGTGGACTTGAAGTTTGTTTTTGTTATGGAATGAACATCCTGTTTTTCAGGATAGGTCACGTTATAGATTTTGTTGGGATTACAATACAAATATGCAGTTACGTTGCACAAATTGTAACAGTAACATGCCAAGAAACATTTCATAGGAGGAAATAATCCGGTAGAGAAAATATATGCATTTTTCTTAATCCTTTTTTCTCTTTTGGTCAAAATTATGTGATTGTATGGGGGAAAATAGTTCCTTTTATATGAATTCTCTATTCAAAAGAAAAAAAATTTTTTTTTCACTACTTTATACAATTCTGTTAATTACATTTATGGGAATTTTATGTATGATATTGAACAATTTAGGTCTCTAGTACTGAAAAGTTTTTTAGACTCATTTTAAGACGCTCAGAATATCTTCCATAACATTACATCAGAAAAATTTTATCAGATATTATTTCGCTTGTCGCGATGTGTCATATTTTACATTTTTGTTGTGGTGTGCGTGCATGCTTATTTGATTTATGTTTGTTACAACAATTTTTATTTCATCGAAAAAGAGAAGACTTCAGTCTGAATGATGTACATAACTGTGATGCACTAGATTTGTAATTAAGCGTAACCTCCTTCGGGTTTCCGACACAAACCATGCTTACTCCAAAACATGTTTTCTTAATTCGAGTTGATGTCAATTTGCATTTTACGTACAAAACAGGTGATGTGTAAAATTACAGTACATGATGGAAAAAAAATATATAGAGTATTTTAATAATTGGATATGAAATTTGAGAAGTACATGTATTTGTTATTTTCTGTTCAATAAAACAACCTTACAGATATATATATATATATATATATATATATATATATATATATATATATATATATATATATATATATATATATATATACTCATTATACATGTATTATATCATGCAAACTGTGTGCCTACTACATGTACATGAATAAAGTTTTACATGATACGTACTGCATGACCAACTTAGCCCCAATTTGAACCCAAGAGCCATCAATTTCAAAAATGGTGTGAAGGGCTCATTGCTTATTGTAATCATGATTGGCACAGCCATTCTAGAGAAAAAGCTGAAAACGTTCCTATAAAATACATGGTTACTGTCTTGAAATATAAACGATATTTGGGCGAGGGTAAGAAAACGTGATAGAGGGCAAGGCTCTTATACAATCATGATGGACCAAGGACAACAGATAGCAATATGTCATCTGAGTAGTAGGTCACGAGTGAACCATCAAGCTCATTTCACCTAAAAACTACTATCATAGTTCAAATTAAAGTTTAGGTATTTTTCAGTACATGTAATAAATAAATCTTTTTAAAATACTTTGTAATTCTACATGAAAAAGAATGTATTAAATAAAAATGAAAAAAAAAAAACATATATCTTTTCTCAATAGGTTTATTGAGGAGTCATGAACATGATATTTAAATAAAAGCTACATGTCTAAAACTTTTTTCTGCATGTCAGACATACTTTGGATACATTATTGTAAACAACATTTAAACTCAGGCAGTTTTGGTGTGAAAAACAATATGAAAGTTGAATATGTAATGGACATAGATAAATGATATGAAAATATTACACATGAAAAATAGAATAGTTTTCATTTATGTGGCAAGTGAAGTGATAAAATCCCCCTTTGTGTCCACAGTCTCTCCACTGTTTCCGTTATTAATATTGTTCACATTAAGAATGCCAGAAGGTGTCGAAATGGTAATCTGTCCTGATGAAATTTGCTGTGCTATATTAGGTGGCAGCCCACTCAGAGAAACATTGGAAATCTGACCAGATGCCAACTGTGACATGTTGAAATTTGAACTCTGGGGCTGAGATGAGCTAGGGGCGATAGCTATAGGTACATGAGTAGTGTGAACGGGGGCAGGGGAGGAGCGGTTGTCCCTCCCATTACTTTTCTCTCCTGTGCCATCTCCCCCTCCTGCTCCATCTTTGGGCCCTTTGACAAATACACCACCTAGTCCCCTCTGTCTGTTTAAAGCATGTCTGTGTCTTGACTCGTACAGGTATTTCTAAAACGAAGTATACAATGTAATAAGGTTTTACATTAGGCAACAATACAGTCTTGTTAATTGATGAGGAAATTTAACCATTTATTACCATCATGAAAATGAATCAGACTTTTCATGTTGTTCTCAAAATTATTATTATTTTTAGTTTAATGTAACCATATACAAAAGAAATATGATGCCTAAGAACTTTTTCCCCCTCTACAACAACAAAAAAAAAAGAGAGAGAGAGAAATTTTTCATGTTGCAACTTATCGTTACTGGATATGAATGTATGTTACTTTGAATACATACTTGTCTTTCTTTGGGTATCCTGCCTAAGGCCTCTAGTTTGGCCCGAGCTTGTCTTCGTTTCAAAATTCTGTGATACTGTTTGGCATTAACGTATAGTGGTTCCTCGCCAGTATCGTTTGCCTGAAATGATATGCAATATTCACTTGCTATCTGCATTACATAAATTTCTGAAAAATGATTTAAGGTCAAGATCTAGTAAATGAAAGGTACCTACAGATTTCTCAAATTTTAGAAATAAATTCCTTTAATGATGCTTTATAACTTTACTTGGTCAAATAAGGTGGAGTTTTTTCCATATCAGACAAAGGAAATGTACCCAGATTGCCTACAGTCTCTCAGAAAACAATAATTTGTATGTTCTTGGCCTCTTCTTTAAAATAATATTAAATTGAATGTAGGTATCGGGATTACTTTTCACATCATTTCAAATCGAATTCCATGAAAATACTTTATTTTCTACATAATTATTTAAGAGCCGTAAAGTACGGGAAAAAGAAAGTCGAAATTGATTAATATGACGTCATAATGAATCCAGCACCAAACAGTAAGTCTAAAGTCATTTACTAGATCTTGACCTTAACTGCAAATCAACAGTTTTAGAATTTTTGGATTCTTGTTTGTAACTTATTTTATATTTTGCTTTGACAAATTATTCATGTAATATAGCATGAAAAATGAAATTCTTTAAAATATCAGCTTCAAATTTCATTTATTTTGATGCCAAAAAGTACCAAGTTAACAGCAAATTGTAAAAACTGATCATGAAATGTAATGAATACCACACAAAGATTATATGATGCTGACTCACTTGTTATACAAGGCAAAATTGATAATTCAAATGATTCTACTAATTAGGCCTATCTTAGCTCACTTAATCATAAAAGTGCTGTAACTGTCACCCGAGAGAAAGGATAAACCAAAACCCAAACAGCTTTTTACTGTATAAGCTATTTCAATCCAATGTGTCTACAAACAACATTAACACCTATAATTTATAAATTATAATTCTTTGTGAATGTGAACCGTAATAGCTGTCAGTATTACTTACCACTGGCACCTGCTGGTTGACAGGTTGTGTGGGTAGATTTATTACTTGTATACCTGCAAAAAGGAGAGAGTGAATCAAAACTTTCCTTAATAAATTCTTTTGAACTTCTAGATGGATCATTGGGAGTTGAAGCCAATGTTATGTTAGCCCCCAAGGGCTGAAATATTGCCTGATGCGGAGTGGAGGGCAATATTTTTGTCCCCAGGGGGCTAACATAATCATTTTTGCCTGAAAACACAGTCAATAAAAATTGATAATATACAGTCAATGGATAATTATTTTCCTTTCAGTATTTTCAATAAAATATCCTCTTTGCAATATGAGTTAATCAAACAGTAAAATTCATCCCTGCATCATCATCATTCAATAAATTTGCTTAGGCCTGGCATCTGAAAATCTCTCTTTTTTTTTTCTTTTTCACCAAATCAATGTTTAATTCCCATTTGCATGAAGATAAAAATCTCTTTCTTTCACATTTTTTATAAGCTCAAACTTTTAAAGTATTACATTAACTTTTTAAAAATAATTTTAAAAGGGTACAATTTTTAAGTTTCCTTTCCTCTTCTTGAAATATACTCCCTGGTCTTAAGTTCAGAGAAGAGGTTCTATAAAATTCATAAGGCCAAATAAAAAAAAAATATACCCCCCGACCCTAAACTTTTTTTTGACAATTTTCATATTTTTTCTGGAATTTTCCCCAATTTCCATCAATGGCTCCGGTTTAAGTTTTAGTTTCAGCAATGACAGCCTCCTTGCACAACATAGTGCAAGTGTTTATTAGTGTTAAATCCAAAGCAAGCTAGCATGTAGGTGTCCCCTACCAATACTGACTAGTATTTTATCACACCACATCTAAATGTCATTTGCAAAGTAGTGATAAGTATTATTTAGAATAATTAAGAAAATCATTTTCAGGGATTTATCAGTACCTTCTCAGGGGCCGAAATTCGACCCCATTCCCAATTGAAAATGAGTTCAGTTTTTCCCAATTTGGCAGTATTTTTTCCCAATTGGTGAACAATGCTTTTATATTTAATTATCTTCGAAAAACACAAGGAAAATTGTCAGATTGTCTGTAATTTTCATCTATTTAAGTCATTTAGCAAAGCTACAGTCATAACACATGTTTAAAAACACTGTAAAAACATCGCCAACTTTTAATCCGAATTTCCTCCGTTTTTCTGAAAATGGTGATATTGTGTAATTATATAGATTTATTAAGTTATTTCTACATACTCAATTGATCTACGAGTGAATGGTAAGGACTGTAGGCATTATTTCAAATAGAAAAATATATTTTCAATGCATCAATACATATTAAAAGAGGACTTTGAGAAAATGTATACTTGCAGGAGGTTTATATTTTCCAAAAACAGATCCTGTAATGACCTAAATTGGAATCTCATACATGTACTACCCTATGTTGTATAAACACTTTATACTCATTGAAGTCAATTTTACTTTTATTAGTCTGTTATTCATAATTGATCTTGTATGAAGTTGGATCATATATAATTGTCTGTTTGGTTGCCCAAATTGGAGTTCATGCTGAAATATTAAATGAATTACACCTGAATACATGATTTAAGCAACATTTTTAATTTTTCCCAATTTTATCAAAAAGCCGATAATTTTTTCCCAATTCCCCAAAAATGGCGTTTCCCAAAATAGGCTGATAAATCCCTGATTTTGTTAAAAAAAAAAAAAAAAAAAAAAAAAAAAAAAAAAAAATCCCTACCTACCTACCCTAATTTTTTTGGAGGTGTAACCGGAACCACGCATATTTTTTTGTTTGGCCAAAGTATATGGATACAGAAGATGAGACAATCAAGTGACAAGTCAATAACCTCATGCATCTATTATAGATTCCCCGATCACCAGTAGTGAAATCTCTTTCTATTAGGTCTTTAAACAAGAGGCCCATGGGCCACATCGCTCACCTGAGCACATTGGCTAAGCAAAAGCACAATCAGTTCAGTATTGAAAAGATGGGGGGGGGGGGGCTTGAATTTTAAACTACCTGATGATGCTTCCATGTCAATATAACAAATGGCTTTGTTGTACTTGAGAAGATTTTTTAAAAAAAATTCCCATATATTCCTTTGTAAAAATTTGATCCCTCATTGTGGCTCCTCCCTATCCCAGGGGTCATCATTTGAACAAACTTGAATCTACACTACCTGAGGATGCTTCCATATCAATATGACTAAACATAGCTTTTCTGTTCTTCAGAACAAGATATTTTCCTTTATATTTCTATGTAAAACTTTGATCCTCCATTGTGGCTCCGCCCTACCCCCGGGGGTCATGGTTTGAACAAACTTGAATCTACACTACCTGAGGATGCTTCCATATCAATATGACTAAACATAGCTTTTCTGTTCTTGAGAAGAAATATTTTTTCTATATGTTCCTATGTAAAACTTTCCTTCCCCCATTGGGCTCCACCCTACCCCTGGGGGTCATCATTTGAACAAAATTGAATCTACACTACCTGAGAATGCTTCCATATCAAAATGACTAATCATGGTTTGCAGTTCTTCAGAAGAAGATATTTTCCTTTATATTTCTATGTAAAACTTTGATCCCCCATTGTGGCCCCGCCCTACCCCCGAGGGTCATGGTTTGAACAAGCTTGAATCTACACTACCTGAGGATGCTTCCATATAAATATGACTTATCATGACTTTGCTGTTCTTGAGAAGAAGATTTTTAAAGATTTTTCCTATATATTTCTATGTAAAACTTTGATCCTCCATTGCGGCCCCGCCCTACCTCCGGGGGTCATGATTTGAACAAACTTGAATCTACACTACCTGAGGATGCTTCCATATAAATATGACCAATCATGGCTTTGCTGTTCTTGAGAAGAAGATTTTTAAAGATTTTTCCTATATATTTCTATGTAAAACTTTGATCCTCCATTGCAGCCCCGCCCTACCCCCGGGGGTCATGATTTGAACAAACTGGAATGTACACTACCTAAGGATGCTTCCACATGAGTTTCATCTTTCCTGGCCCTATGGTTCTTGAGAAGAAGATTTTTAAATGATGCCATTATTTTTTCAGTAATTCCTAATTATCTCCCCTTGAAAGAGGGCGTGGCCTTTCATTTGAACAAACTTGAATCCCCTTTACCCAAGGATACTTTGTGGCAAGTTTGGTTGAAATTGGCCCAGTGGTTCTTGAGAAGAAGTCGAAAATGTGAAAAGTTTACAGACAGACAGACAGACGGACAGACAGACAGACAGACAGACGGACAGACAGACGGACGCCGGACAAAATGTGATCAGAAAAGCTCACTTGAGCTTTCAGCTCAGGTGAGCTAAAAATTCCAGTAATCTGACTGACCCAAATTGCAGGTGGGTGAATTTTTTTTTCTTAGCAAATCTGAGATAAAATCAATCAGCTGATGCAATTTTTACCAACTACCCGGTATGTTACTTGACATATAAAGTCTATCACTAAATCAACAAATTACCTTTTATAAAAGCTAATAAATATTAATACAGTAAGACATAGTTATATCAAAGTTTTGGGGACCAGTGAATTTACTTTTCTATATCCTTTATTCAAATATATCTGTATAACAAATTCACTCAAGTATATGTTTAAAGCGAATTCACAATATATACATGTTTTCTTTCAAGTATGACTACCAAGTATGTCCAAAGAAGTATCAGATACAAAACTTACCTTGGATTACTGAAGTTTTTTGATGAATTTCAAAAATAAATATTTATGAAAAATAATGTCTGTTCAGTATTTTAAATTTTGATATCTTATAAAATCAGTTATAAAAGATGTAAATTTCTTTATTTTTAACCTCTGTTGGCTATATTCATAAATTTATTATATCAGAGTTCATTATGACTGTGAAATTTTAAAAGAAATTGTCAATAATTTTGCTGGGGATCCCAAAAAAATTCGCATTATCTGTGTTTATATCAAATGAATTTTACTGTGTATCATCTAGCATTTTTTCCCCATGACTTTTGGGTTCATTAGAGTCCTATTTATGCTGGTATGAGATTCTATATTAGCCCAATTTTCCCATCAACCCTTGTTTTGTGTGTGTGTCAGGGTTCGAGCTGTGATTCGCCATTTGCGCCAATTGCGAATTTTTTCCAAAAGTGGCGAAAAGAAATTCAAAAGTGGCGAAAATGATTTTTTTGGGGGGGGGGGGGGGGATATACCATACAAAAGTGTGTGTACTCCTGGCTATCTCCTTTGTTTATTCAATGTATACAGACTAGCCCCTTTGTTTATTTAATGCAAGCAGACGTGTGAATTCAGGGTGTGAAAACTCCATGAAACTTACAAAACAATGTACATGTAGGAAATCACGTCTCGCTTGAACGCACACAGATGACTAGGTAACTTTAGCCTGGAGCAGTAAGGGGATACAAATTAAATTACTTGAAATAATATAAGATGGATTAAACAAGGAAAGACAAAGTGTTTTGGGGAGATGAAGTTAGTTAATAAAAGATTTTAATCAATAAAATCTGGATCTATATAGATTGTTTTTTAAAACCGAAAGTAGGAAAACATGACGAAAACTGCAGAGCATGGCTGCTAATTTTACCTGATTAAAGTCAAAATAGTGTGTTCATTATACCATAAACTGACAAAGAGTGAAAGAGATACTGGCTTGGAAACAAAACAATACTTTTGTCAATTACGCTGAATATCTATTATTTTCAATTATATAAATTTACATGCATACACCCATGCAGTGTTGAAGTTGTTAACAGGTTAAATTAATTAAGCCAAGAATTGTTGATATAATTAAACTTTCACTTATTTTATCAATTTTTTCATTTTAAAAAAATGTCATATATCTTTACTAAGCATGTAACCCCCCTCCCAGGGCTAAAAACATGTTATGAACAAGAGGACATCTATTGTCAAAAGTTGGCTAATATCAGTATCAATTTAATTGTATAAATGTAGAATTGTAGAAATAATTCCTATATAAGGTTTGTAAGTGGATATTGTTTTAAATTTTAGTACTATTTTAAAACAATGCCAGTGATATAAACAAAGTGAAATAGTGCTATTAGTGGAGTGTTTAGCATACACAATTGTCAAGATGAGATGTAAGAATGCGATTCTTTTCATTGCGAAAAGTGGCAAAAAATATTTTCGCTCCAGTGGGAGCCCTGGTGTGTGTGTGTGGGGGGGGGGGGGGGGGGGGGGGGCACTGCTCATGTTGCAGGATACAAAGATACAACTTAATTTTTTTTGGACTTATTAGCACATCTAGGAAAGTAATATACCTTGAGGAAGTTGCACTGGTTTGTTGTTGGCATCCACAAGCACAAAAGAGGTTTGTCCATTGACTGTCACTTGATTCAGGAACAACATCTGTGGAACCCCAACAGCTGGGGTCATTTGTGCTGTGGTGTTCACTTGGGGTGAGCCTTGGACCATCAAGTTATTTGGTTGTTGGACAATATTAGAAGTCTGAACAATCTGGCCTGTCCCAGGTGCAATGGAAGTTGTTCCTTGTGAGACACTTGTGAAGTTTGAAATATTTGAGAGTGTTCCATCTGCAACCTACAAGTATTTTGAAAATAAAAAAAAAAACACCTCATTTGAAGTGCTACTATAAAAGATGATCTAAGGTTTGCACAACATGTTTTGGTGTCAAGAAAGGGGCAATTAAAATTCAGAAAATTAGCAATGCATTTGGGACATTGGAAGTTTTTGATTTAAAGCTCATCAGATTTTGATTTTTTTGTGTTTTGTGATCAACTTTCGCCAAATTTTGATTTGTGTGTGTTTTGTGGTCCACTTAATTAATAAAGACTATACATAACAACATTCTGCTGGGAAAAAAAAAACAAGATGCTGGTATCTATTTTGCATTAAGAAAGGGGGCACTCAACAGCCCCAATTATAGAAAATCAAGAGCCCTGCCTAGTACACGTATGAACACCATTACTATCAATCACACACTGTGTCTGAATGAGAATACAATCAGAAAGCAATTCTGTATATCTTCAGGGCTCGACATTAACTTTTTTTCCTTCTTGTCCATTCGGACAAGTGACCAAGACATTTACTTGTCCGAACTTCAACTTCACTTGTCCGAAAAAAATTCAATAAATATCTAATACTGTCAACTGGAAAACTAAAATAAAGTCCATTACACATGACATGTGCTTGATTGATTCATGATGTTATTGATTAAAACAAAATTTTATCTAGTCTTTCTGGTCTGACAACAACATAAATGTCCACAAGTGAACCAAACTTCATTAAGTTCGTAAGTTCCATGCCTTTTCAGTAGTGAACTTCGATCCCAATCGAATGTGAACTCAATTAATAGCTATCCCTATCGGGATCGAAGTCCGGTTTTTATGTACAGCTTCCATCTTGAAACTACCGATTAACTTTCAACAGTCGTTTTTTTTAATTATTTAGAGACTCCTTTATATTAAAATGCACTTGTCCAATCGGACAAGTGCCCAGCAATATTCACTTGTCCGTAATTTTTTTTCACTGGTACCGGACAAGCGTTAATGTCGAGCCCTGATCTTCAACCTAAACAGAAAATTGTGCAGCCAAAAAACAAATTAATGTTTCCTGAAATCTTAACGTAACCCAAATGTAAATTAGTACATACTGTATACAAGATTATTTTCATTCCGTTTCTTTCTGGCCCTTTCAAACTTGCAAATTTGCCCAATTTAAATTCATTCAGTTCAGACACAAATGTGTTTGAATTTGCTACACTTTAAATTTGCCCAACTGCAACCAGGGTTTAAAGGGCAAAAATAAATCAGGGGCAAAAATTTGAATGTATACAGTATTTACAGGATATAATAGATGCTTGTCTAGATGAAAAAAAAAGGGGAAGGACCAAATACCCAATGTTTCTAAATAAAAATGCTATTAATTTTGATAAATTATCTAGTTAACATAGACATTCCCAATTACCCAAAAGGACAATGTAATTTCATACCTGCGGACCCTCCTGTGAAATTAAAAAAGTCATTTTGAAGGAAAACATACATGTACATACATGTATTCAGTGTCACCTAGTTAAGAATTAAAATAAAAATTTTACTGAACAGACGAACACCTACTGCTTACGTCCATCTTACCTGTACAATTTCCCCACCAGGCTGGGTGATCTGTTGAAGTTGGACGCCATCTTGAGTAATATATTGTATTGTACCATGTGATTCATCTGTGCCTCCTTGAGCAACAGTAACTGTTAATGGTTGCTGGGTCTCAGTATCAAATACTGTGTATGTATCATTTTCCGACATTTCCGACCTGAATATTATGAAAAAGATACAATTTTTTTTTTACAATGCTGCAAAATACTCTAATCTTTAGGTTATTCAGCATGTTAAATAAGCAGTTTCTAAAATATTTAATAGTGACAACGAGTGATTTCTGGTATTCAGTAAAACATGCTTATAATGAAGTGCCAGGGATGGACAATTTTGCTTCATTATAAGCCTAACTTCTTATATCCATTAATTGTTCAATATATTTTAAAGTCAAGGGGAATAAAAATCAATTTGCTGTAAGTGTCAATTCATTAGAAGTTCAAGTGTGTTCGCTATAGCGTGTTTTACCGTAATGACTGAAATCCTATCATATCTATATCTATGACATCTTATTTCTTAATTGAAATTGGACAAAAACTAAAAAAGTAATGTTTTGAAAATTTATAGTAATCATGGCAACAACATTCATCAAAATAAAAAATTGATACATACAGAATTATGTATCTTAGTGTTATTTACTTGTGTACCAAGTTATATTGATTGAACCAAAACTGTAGAAGTATCATTTTGAAAATTTTTACAGACAAACAGATGGATGGACAACAAGTTATAAAAAAGATTTTGAGAATTATCATTAATTTCATCTGAATTGAAGGTTCATTTTTTCACTGTCTCAAGAATTTCTGAATCAGTTAAAAAATTCGATTGGTAAACTGTCATGACTGAGGAATGGTAAGTCACATGTCATGGTACGTCAACCCATTGTAATAAACATGTATTCTCATGTTTGCTAGTACCTGTGTACTTTCTCTTTCGATTCTGTTTTAATATATATCAATCAACCCAATATGAATATGTGCCCAACAATTTATGAAAATTTCAGGGGTAACAGAATCCCTAATATTTTCATGTGCGGAATTATAGTAGTTTAAAAATAGAGATGGGGTTTCCTTTTGATCGATAGAATATAGCTTCTTAATCTAAGGAGACACAAATGAATTTTTGCATTTTTATGGTTTGGTGCATTATCCATAATAAACAATAATTGGCGATTTACAATCAAATAGATCAAATGTTGTTCAATCTTTTTTTTCTCATAATCCAAATCTGTACCCTTTCTCTTGCCTGACGTTTCCATTATTGTGATGAAATAATTCTTCTTTCTTATAAAAACATGCCAAAGACATTCCTAATTTTGAGTTTTATTCAACAAATATCTTTAATTTAGCTGAATTCCTTGTCTAACCAGTCAGGCTTGACCGCAACAACTGTCAAAGCATGGGCGTGTTGTCCAAATTACCGACATGCTCCAGATAATTAGCATTAATTGTTATCGAGAGTTTTCCTTATATAATTATGACCTTTTTTTTCTAAAACCAGTGGCGGATGGCAACAAGCAGGGGTGGCAATATAAAGGGTGTATTAACACAAGGGGAAATCCGTTCTTTGAGAATTCCTGGCAATAAGCGAGGGTGGCAATATAACGGAGGGCAATCGGGGTAGCAATGTATAGCACCAATTCTTTTAGAAATTTGAGGCAAAAGTTTTGAAGAAGACGCAATTTGATGAACATTTTTTTCATGCATTGTTGTCAGAACAATACAAAGCTGAAAGAAACAGTTAAATCAAGCTATTATGAATAGCTAAATCAAGTTAATGTATATAGCTATTTCAAGCTATATTGGTAAAATCAAGAGATTGTGCTGGACCTGCAGAGTTATGACACTGCTTCTATTTCAGTGTAATATTGTCCAATCTATTTAATACCCTCCAAAAAGTCAAATTAATGCTATAATGAATAAATCTTAAAACTGACAGTTAAAATGAATACATTACAATGCGATGCTAGAAAAAGAAACACTTCACAAAAATCAAATTCTATTCTTACAAAATGTTTGCTGTCAAATATGTTCTTACTTCATTAATACGTTTCGCTGTACCAAAATCTTAGGAATGGCTAAAATCCTACAGAAATGTAGGTGACTTTACTTCAAAATTTTCCAACTTGTATTATCAAATATGGCGCTAAACAGTGTGCACAGAAAACAGTGACGTAAACAAAAAACATTTTAAAGATGTTGATTAGTGCCTCAGTAAGTCGTTCGTTAACTATTTACATTGAAGATTGAGGTGAAAATTACTTTGCCTCTGTAAAAGAACCTGTTACGCTATAGATTTTCATAGAAAACAATCAATTGATAATTTGGTTAAAACTCATATTTGAGTATCCCCTAATGACCATGGAAATGATGAAAGAATTCATCTAAAATAGCCAAGCTTCTAACCCACAAGGACTGAACGTAAACAAAGCGATTTGCCGGTTCTTTCCAGGGAATTGTTTGAGGGTTTACAATCGGCAAAATATCACGATGAGTAAAGCCCATCCACCAGAGTTAAAGAAGTAATTGGCTTTTTAGATATCTGCATTTATTATTATTGTAATTTACTTGAATGATGTGGTTGTCATTTAAGGTTATCAACCCACTGTAAGTGCATTATTTTGGGAACATGACAAAACGGAGCAGGAATCATTGACTCTGTAGATATCAAATAAGAAATACTCCCATTATATCAATTTTTTCAGTATTACTATCTTAGAAATGGAAGCGATATGGCTTATTCAATCCATAATTGCTGTTATATAATTTTTGGAGTTGCTTTTTAATACAAACTTGCAAAATTTCCGTTATCATGGTCTTAGAATGAGAAAGTTCCCAGCTGATGACTTAAGGTTGTGCTGGTGTAGGGTCGTGTTAATTAATATGTTATTACATTCTTCAGTTCACCAAGGTCAGTTTTCAAGACTGTAACACTCTCTGTCATACGCATGAGATTCATCCTTGCAGGGACAATGTCAGCCACCTAGGCCTAGCAGCATGCACCTCTGTAGGTTGCTGGTCTGAAAAATTTTGATTGATGACCAGGGGCCCATTTTACAAAAGAACTTACGACTAAGACCAAACACTTCAGTTGATTGTAAAATTATGCAAAATTAATGATTTTGTTTAAAATTGCTAGCGTAAAAGTATCTTTCTATATACCTTTTAAAAAGATTAAAACTATTTTCTATTTCATGTAAATAGGAAAGTTATTAGCAGAATTAAATTTTGGTCTTAGTCGTAAGTTCTTTTGTAAAACGGGCCCCAGAATGCTACAGTGCCACCCCTTTAAAAAAATTGTACATTTATTGCACACAAAAATGTGTGCTGTTTTTCTTGATTTATTTTCTCCTAGTATTGTTTAGAGATTCAGCATAGTTGCTGACGATCGAAAAATCGTTGTTGGAAGGTTGGCAATGCCAACAATCAATAGCATCAAAATCGACTATAATTATAAACACAGTACAAGGTCTTTATTTATGTAAATAAAAATGTCTGATTTTTTTCAGTTATGAATCAAATAGGTGTTTCCTATTAGATTGGATGATCAATAGTGTTTTCCATCCAATTCTGAAATGCTATTATTGTTTCTTATACATTCATCTACAACCAGATTCATAGAGGGTTAATATCTTCATAAAATGTAAAGTTTCCAAAAATAATTAGGATTTCAAACAGGTTGATATATATATAGGCCATCTTCCTTTGAAGTTTCCATGGTTCTTGCCATTTAGTGCAACAAGAAAAATTCACACGTTACCTTGGTGCATTGTTATTTGCACAGTACTTAAAAGTACACTGTGCTGTAGACTATTAAAAAAGTTAATAAAGCATGTGGATGTTGAATATGAAATTATGTTTATGTAATCTTTTACCTTCTTTTTTTTCAGGTATATGGAAAAGAAAATAAATTGTGAGTATATATACTCTATGCAAAATATACATGGAGAATGAATATTAGAATGGATTTTATATTAACTGTGAAATAATTTATGAATGAAATAAAAAGTAAATGACCATGGCATTAAGTATAACGGCATTGTGTAAAGAAATCATGATTTTAATATCTTGAAAAAAAAAAATCAGCTGACCAACTGACCCAGCTCTAGATTTTGAGTTTTTTTTTTTAATGGTCAAATTCATTTTTCCCCAGTATGACAGGCGGTATTATTTTCATGCTCTAACACAATCTTTGATAAATGCCCAGTGGTGATACCATTGGGGCGAGTGCCATTTTCTTTAAACCCCTGTATACATAATTTTTTGCAGTGAAATTAAATGGAGGGAGACAGATCACAGGAATATTACGAGGATATGACCCCTTTATGAATCTGGTGGTGGATGAATGCATCGAAGAAACAAAATTAGGAGAAAAGAACCAGATAGGCATGGTGGTATGTACAATACACTATCTTACAGAAATACTGCTAGACAGTACTATTACTACTATACGAAATCAGACCTGCCAACCATTATGATTTTAGCATAATTTTTACCATTTTTCATCCGTAATCTTTCAATAATCAAATTATGACTTTGAAAGAAATCCAGAATTTTTACCTTTCTTGGTCAGTTTTGTTTTTATTCAGAGTCATCAGAGGTCATTATATTTTTACATTTTTGTTAAAATAATTTTATTTAATTACTATTCTGTGCATTAGCCATTAAAAAGTGTTCATAGTCTGAAAAAGTTGTAATACTCAGGTTATCTTTAAGGCCTACAGGCCTCTTGTTTTTATTAGCAACCATGATAACATTGAATTTTGTGAAAACCTTAAGATTTATATTTTATGCTACCTGCATTGCATTTATACACTTTGATCACTGTCACAGGTCCAACATTGTGTATGGAGCACAATCTTTAAATACACTGTAGCCCTTGTCACAAAAATTACTGTTTTTTCATAAGATTTTATCAAGAATGTCTTACGTCAAATCTTAAGTGTTTTTTACAAACCCATTCGTAGCAGATTAAAGTTAAGATTATACTAACGTCAGACTTTGTCCCTAGCAACAATCTGATTATGCTTTATAATCCTTAAGAAAGTGGGTGAAAATAAAAGTAAAGTTTTCAACACTTATCAGCGAAAAAAAAACATTTTTGACAACAAATATGGAATGCAATTGATTGTTAAGCAATGAAGTTTTAAATCTGATGTCAAAATCAAAAGACTTACATAAAAGTAGGTTCATATGAAAATTTTAAGTGAAACTGCCATCGTAAATATTTTGTAGTATATTTCATTTAATTTTTCGACGATGATAAATCAATTGTGAAAAAATATAAAATTCTATTGTAGGTTGAGTAAAAAAGTTCAATTAAAGATATATTTTGGTTTTATCCATTTTTTTTTTCTACAATAAAATTGGTTCAAAAATACTTACAAGAAGGTTAGGGCTCCCGTAAAGTTACCACAAATTTTACTCATTAGAATCTCGTAAGAATGTTTGTGAAAAGGAATATAAACTTGTAAATTTCTCTTATGATGGAAATTTATCGTAAGATTTTTTTGTGAATAGGTCTTCTGATTAACAAGTATTAATTGATTTTAAACACTCATGGTTTTTTTTTGATTCCTCTAATAAGAAAGATAACTCTCCCCAAGATTAATAACACTAACAATTAATCCCTTAAAATATTTGAAGTTATACATGTAAATTGTTTTCTGTCAAATTTTGCACTGCAAGGTGTAATGAACTTGTACTTTTTCAATTATAATTGATCTTTTTTGAAAAATAATTACCATTAAAGCAAAATTGTATGCAAGTTTTTGAAATTTTAGCCCTTGCAATGATCTTTTTGTCTATGTAGGTTGTCAGAGGTAACAGTATAATCTTGCTGGAAGCTCTTGATCGGATTGGATAAAGCAGGGATCCTGTAGGATCCAATGAAGTTGGGCAGCAGTGAATGACTGTTTCTAGTGACTTTTATGTGTGAGAGAGAGAGGACTGGGAAATGATGTGTTCTAAGTGCCCAGGAAACAAGGGACATGTGTTCTTTACAATATGTATAGAGTTGTTTTTAGCAACATCAGTGTTAGATATACTTGATCATGAAAGTAACTTTGCTTCATATTTCACAACTTTCATTACTCATTTTTTTTTTTAATTAAAGTATACATGTAAATGTATCTGAATATTGTGTGTGTTTAGTTATGGTCTGATTTAAAAATTACAGTTTCAAAATCCTTTCTTGCAAGTTGTGTGGGATAATTAGCTCGCCTAAGCGAAGTTGTTGGAGCTTACATACATGTATATGTAATACCCTCTGCATCATTGTTGGCGATCCAGGTTAGATTTTGATGCAGATTTATTATCAGATATTTCTACTTTTTTTTTAGCTCACCTGAGCTGAAAGCTCAAGTGAGCTTTTCTGATCACATTTTGTCTGTAGTCTGTCTGTCTGTCTGTCTGTCCGTCTGTCTGTAAACTTTTCACATTTTTGACTTATTCTCCAGAACCACTGGGCCAATTTCAACCAAACTTGCCACAAAGCATCCTTGGGTAAAGGGGATTCAAATTTGTTCAAATGAAGGGCCATGCCCTCTTTCAAGGGGAGATAATGAAGAATTGGTGAAAAATTAATAGCATCTTTTAAAAATCTTCTTCTCAAGAACCACAGGGCCAGAAAAGATGAAACTCATGTGGAAGCATCCTCAGGTAGTATAGATTCAAGTTTGTTCAAATCATGACCCCCGGGGGTAGGGTGGGGCCACAATGGGGGATCAAAGTTTTACATAGAAATATATAGGAAAAACCTTTAAAAATCTTCTTGTCAAGAACAGCAAAGCCATGATAATTCATATGTGTATGGAAGCATCCTCAGATAGTGTAATTTCAATTTTGTTCAAATCGTGACCCCCAGGGATAGGGCGGGGCCACAATGGAGGATCAAAGTTTTACATAGAAGTACCCAGGTATATAGGAAAAACCTTTAAATATCTTCTTCTCAAGAACAGCAGAGCCATGATGAATCATATTTATATGGAAGCATCCTCAGGTAGTGTAGATTCAAGTTTGTTCAAAACATGACCCCCGGGGTTAAGGTGGGGCCACAATGGAGGATCAAAGTTTTACATAGAAATATATAGGAAAAACCTTTAAAAATCTTCTTCTCAAGAACAGCAAAGCCATGATGAGTCATATTTATATGGAAGCATCCTCAGATAGTGTAGATTCAAGTTTGAACAAATATGATCCCCAGGGGTAGGGCGGGGCCACAACGAACTATCAAAGTTTTGCATAGAAATATATAGGAAAATATTTAAAAATCTTTTTCTCAGGAACAGCAAAGCCCTGATTGGTCATATTTATGTGGAAGCATCCTCAGGTGGTGTAGATTCATGTTTGTTCAAATCATGACCCCCGAGGGTAGGGTGGGGCCACAATGAAGGATCAAAGTTTTACATAGAAATATATAGGAAATTTTTTTAAAAATCTTCTTCTCAGCAACAGCAAAGTCCTGATTGATCATATTTATGTGGAAGCATTCTCAGGTAGTGTAGATTCCAATGGGGGATCAAAAGTTTTACATAAGAACATATAGAAAAAATATTTCTTCTCAAGAACAGAAAAGCTATGTATAGTCATATTGATATGGAAGCATCCTCAGGTTGTGTAGATTCAAGTTTGTTCAAATGATGAGCCCTGGGATAGGGAAGAGCCACAATTGTGGATCAAAATTTTTGAAAATCTTCTCAAGTACAACAAAGCCATTTGTTAAATTGACATTGAAGCATCATCAAGTAGTTTAAAATTCATCCCCCCCCCCACCCGTTAATCATTTCAATACTGAACTGATTTGTGCTTTTGCCAAGCCAATGTGCTCAGGTGAGCAATGTGGCCCATGGGCCTCTTGTTTTTTTTTCTGATGGAACAGAAATTTTTTTGGAGCCAATCCATTCTCAAGGCTTTTCAATATCACAGACAACAGCTTCAATGGAAATGGAAGTTGGAAATTTTCGTATGATTGGTCATCAATAAAATTACTTTGTTAAACATCAGTCTTGATTCTACACAAAAGTACTCTGAAGTTGATAATAAAAGGATGCTGGAGTTTCTCATTGACAACATTTATGTTGTCTTGGAGACCAGGTCTTCCAACAAACTGTTGGAATTCCAATGGGCACTAATTTTTAGGTCACCTGAGTCACTCATGTGACCTATTGAATGCTATTTGTTTTCGTCCGTCATCGTGCGTCGTGTGTTAACATTTGAACATTTTCAGCTTCTTCTCTGAAACCGCTGAACCAATTTCAGCCAATTTTAGCATATGGCATCTATGTGTGAAGGGAAACAAAATTTTTGAATATCATGGTCCCTGCCCCCCTGGGGCCTGAGGGGTGGGGCTAAAACCACCAAAATTAATGCAATCTTTAAAAATCTTCTTCTTTACTCCTGGACATCAAGCAGTCAAACTGTTGGCATGATTGTAATAAGCATTGAGCCCTCTACCAAAATTGTGAAATTCATGGCCCCAGGGTCGGGGTTCTGGTGCTAGGGCGGGGCTATATAGATCATATAGTGAAAGTGCATTATTTCTATGGAAATCTTCTCTACTCCTGGGTATTATTGAAATAAATTGAATACATAGTTATGATAAGCACGGGTGACTCTACCAAAATTGTGAAATTCATGGCCCCAGGGTCAGGGGTTCTGGTGCTGGGGGGGGGGGGGGGCTATATAGATCATATAGTGAAAGTGCATTATTTCTTTGAAAATCTTCTTCTCTACTCCTGGGTATTATTGAAATAAATTGAATACATAGTTATGATAAGCACGGGTGACTCTACCAAAATTGTGAAATTCACGGCCCCAGGGTCAGGGGTTCTGGTGCTAGGACGGGGCTATATAGATCATATAATGAAAGTGCATTGTTTCTTTGAAAATCTTCTTCTCTACTCCTGGTTATTATTTAAACAAATTAAATACATAGTTATGATAAGCAAGGGTAGTGAATTTCATGACCCATGGATCAGGGGTTCTGAGGTTGGGGCCGGGCTCTATTTATTTATATATAGTGAAAATGCATTAATGCTTTAAAAATCTTCTTCTCTGCTCCTTGGTATTTTTGAAACAAACTGGTAAGTTCATTGTTATGATAAGACCTCTTCCAAAATTGTGAAATTCATGGCCCCAGGTTCAGGGGTTTTGGTTCTAGGGTGGGGCTATATAGATCCTATAGTGAAGGTGAATTTTTTCTTTGAAAATCTTCTTCTCTGCCCCTGGGTACTATTTAAACAAACTAAGTACTTTGTTATGATACGCAAGGATGCCTCTTCCAAAATTGTGAATTTTATGGCTCCAGGGTCAAGGGTTCTAGTGAAAAGGTTGGGGGGGGGGGGCTCTATTGATTATATAGTGAAAAAGCAAAATTTCTTTGAAAATATTCTTTTCTGCTTCTGGTTAAAAAGCAAAGAAGCTAAGTATATAGTTATGATGAGCAAGACTGCTTCTTCCAGAGTAGTGAATTGCATGATCCTGGTCAGATGTGCTGGTGTAAGGGTGGGGCTCTTGATAATATATTGAAAATGCATTAATTCTATTAAATAATTCTGTCTGCTCCTGGGTAGGGCTCTATTAACTTGTATTCTACTGAGAGGAGTTATTCCCCTTTGTCGTTTACTTTTGATAATTAATCACTGTACACACTGTACTTGAAAGGTTAATAGAATAAGAGAATTATGCAAGAATTTTTATTGTATAATACAAAAAGTATTTTCATAGTTTTAATGATCAGGTAGACTTGTAAGTAATAGATAAATAAAAATGGAACAAAAATAACTTGTCTTATTAAATGTTCATCAAAGACGAAGAGAGGCCAATGTAAGAGATTTCAACAAGGAATTAAAATAGTACAGAAGCACTGATAGTTTTTTAACATACTGTATAGTGATAGTGATAAATGGGGAACAGATTAGAACCTTATTTATAAACTGTCAATGAATACTAGATTAATTATTCTGTTGATCCTGATCACCCTATTTTTCTTGCTTTTGGGCAACAAAGCTTCACCTTTCAGTTCATTTTATTCTCTATGGATCCTCTTAATTGTTGTATTATACTCATGTGACCTTTAAGGCCCTTGGGCCTCGTGTTTAGATATATTGACGACATATTATTAGTTAACAATAATTACCTCCATTCATACGTCAACTCGATATCCCAGTGAAATAAAAGACACCACAGAGTCTGTCACATCTGTTTCATATTTGGATGTTTTACGATAACTTTAAGGGCCAACTAACAACAACTAAATTGCATAGCAAAGGTGAAGACCAGCTTTTCCATCGTCAACTTATTTATGTAGTACACGTAATATCAAACATCAGCTTTGGTCAGCTGACCAAATCATGGATATTTAAACTGTAAATGTTTCGTATGAATGATTCCTGCAGGTCACACGCCAAATACGCCCTTTTTCTTTGTCCATTGTATGTCATCATCATTGTTGTCTGCATAAATTTTTCACATTTTCGACTTGTTCTCTGGAAACTAGCCCAATTTCAATTTAACTTAGCACAAAGCATCCTTGGATGAAGGGATTCAAGTTAATTCAAATTAGGGTCCACCTTCTTTTAAGGGTAGATAATTAAGAAGTGGTGACATTTTAAAGTCATCTTCTCAAGAACAACTGGGCCAGAAAAGATGAAACTCATGTGAAAGCTTCCTGACATAGTTCAGACTCAAGTTTATTCAAATTATGGTCCACGTATACTGTGAGCTACAATAGGGGGATCAAAGTCTTGAGGTCAACTGAGTCACTCAGATGACCTATTGTTTTATGTCTGTCATGTGTGTAAACTTCACATGTACTAGTATTCAACTTCTGCTCAAACCATGGGCAGTGCCCCCTTCCAAGGGAAGTAACTCAAGAAAAGGCAAAGATAGATCGGGGTTATTTAAAATCTTCTCCTCAAGAACCCTGGGGCCAGACAAGTTGAAAGCTTCCTGACATAGTGTAGATTCAAGTTTCCTCAGATCCTCCCCCCGGCCGTCCCCCCTCCTCCCCTCCGAAGCTACAGAAGAGGAGCTTTACATAGGTGAGTATAGGAAAATTCTATGAAGAGTAAAGCCATGAGAAGTCATATTTGAATGGACTTATCCTCAGAATATAGATTCAAGTTTTTATGCCCCC